AGGACAAAGTTCCTTTAGGTATGTAATCCTGAGATCGAGATTGCTTCTCTCTTACAATCGACATCTTACTGTATTTAAGCGCTGGCCCCTGGGGGACATCGATCCCTTCGATGATGATATGGATAATGTGGTGTGGCTCTTCTTTTTCATTTTGTCTATTAAACTCTCTATTTTTGAAATAATTCTTGGCCTGGTCACTTAAAAAATCTCGAAGGTGCCCTTTATTGAATAATCGGGCTACCTTTTCTCGCAACTGCATGCAATCTTCTGTTCTGTGGCCATGGGTGACATGATACTTGCACATTTGATTGGTATTTCTCTGGCCTGGATCGGTCTGCAGAGGTTGAGGCCATTTAGTATCTTTGATGCATCTGATAGCCTATACAATGGCGGATACATCAATGTTGAAGTTATACTCTGACAATCGCGGTGCTTCCTTAGGTCCGGTATGCCTGTCAAAACCATTCTTGTTCATCAGCCCTCGAGACCTTTGGCCTCGATCATTTCTCCTTTCACCTCGTACGGAGTTTCATCCTGGTTCGCTACCCCCACTATCTCCATTATACAGCCGGTATCGGTCCCTATTCGACCTCGATTCTAGGTCGATGTCCCTTTTAATAACGGATCCAGAAGGGGCCCCCAACTAGTCATCTTCGACTCTAATATTCGATTGATATCAATTATATACATCAGCTCAGGTAATAGTCGGGTACTCAATCAAGTTCTGCTTCAACTGCTGTGAAGCCATTGAGCTTCGTTCGTTTAGTCCTTGGGTGAAAACTTGAATGGCCCAATCATCCGTGACCGGTGGTAGATCCATTCGTTCTATTTGGAAAAGAGATACGAACTCTCTTAGCATCTCGTTATCTTTTTGCCTTACTTTGAAAAGGTTTGACTTCTTGGTCTTGACCTTTATGGCTCCGGCATGTGCTTTTACAAAAGAATCTGCAAGCATGGCAAAAGAATCGATAGAGTTAGGTGGTAAATTATGATACCATATCATTGATCCCTTTGACTGGGTTTCCCCGAATTTCTTTAATAATACAGATTCGATCTCATCGTCCTCTAGATTGTTCCCTTTAATGGTACATGTGTAAGAGGTGACATGTTCGTTGGGGTCGGTCGTTCCATTATATTTTAGAATTTCGTGTATGCGGAACTTTTTGGGGATCGGTTTGGGAGCTGCGCTCGGGGGGAAGGTCTCCTATACAAACATTTTGGAATCCAAACCCTTCAATATTGGTGGTGCCCCCGGGATCTGATCAACCCTAGAGTTATAAGTTTCTATTTTTTTGTCGTTTATTTCAATCCTCTTTTCTCCTGATTCTATCCGTTTTGTCAGTTCCTCGAGCATATTTATAATTCCGGGGTTAGTCTCCGATTTTTGTTCATTTGACCTTACTACAGCTGGCCCCGTTCTGTAGATGACTTCTCGGGGTGGACCGGGCTCGGGCCTGTTCGGTGCCTAGGTTTGGCTCTGCAACTGAGCTATCGCTACCTGTTGAGCTTGCAACATTTCGAAAATCATACGCAAGCTGATCCCGTCTTCTCCAACATTTTGGGTATTTTGAATTGCAGATCGATTTCCACCATGAATGCTGTTTTCGGGGTCGGAATGTTGGTTCGCTTCAACGGCCACATATGAATTAATGCCAATTGGATCTACGACCCGAGTTCCAACGGGATCAACGAGTGGCCTTTCATCCCTGGGCGTCAAGTTGTTATTCCCATCTTGATGGCCAGTTTCGTTGTCGATATGTAGGGTTATTAATTGAGAGTTCGTTATTTTTAACCTGAAATCAAAGATACTTCCAAGAGCAAGTGTAAAATAGTACGTTTTACAGAGATTCATACCAAATAACCACTATTATCCTTAGCCCCATGGTAGGCGCCAAACTGTTTACCTGAAAAATGGATAGAGTTGAATTTATATATAGTTCTAAGGATATGTGATATAAATTGATACAAATTGAGAAAAATATATAAATGAATATCGAAATTAGTTATAAAATAAATGAATGCAAATCGAATGAACTAATTAGTCTAAGCCTTCAAGTTTTATCAGCTTCAAATTGAGTGAAGAACGATTGGTAGAAGAAACAATATGACTAAATATCAAAATCCAAAAAAGGATGGTATTTGCTCTTTTTTCTGAATGTCCTTCTTACAAATGATAACAGCTCTTAATATAGTGGGAGAATCCTATTTTGGATATAATTAAAGATACATAGTGGGGATTTCATGATAGATTAATTAATTAGCTTTTCTTTGATTCAAGCCGTGATTTCTGCTGAGATTCTCTCCCCAATTGTGGCTATAACGGTTTTTTTGTTTCTTGGCTCGATCTCGATCTTGGCCGATCTCTGGGTCTCGAGCTCGATCTTGACTCAATCTCGATCTTTGCCGATCTCGATATTGATCTGTCTCTGGGTGCCGAGCTTGATCTTGGTCGATCTCGATATTGATCGGTCTCTGGGGCTCGAGCTCGACAGCCTAACTTCGCATCACGGCTCGATATTACAATGATGAACCTTGGACCATCATGTTCCAATCTCGATTAGTCGTAAGAAGTTCAGACTCGGTTTTGACGGTATACAATTGTGAGGAGCTCCATATCATTTTATGTTCGAGAAATACGTTGCTTGAGCACTCAAATCATAGAGACAATAGAAGAATCAAAAGAACAAACAGAATTATACTCACAATTGATTTATAAATTCATATTTCTTTTATTTTTGTGAATGTAGTTAATTTTTCATAATTTAAAAATTTGTTGAAACAATTGTATTGATTAGTCCCAACACTCTGTATATCACCAATTTCTTATAAATAATTGATAATGAAAAAGAATCATATTATAAGGTGTTTAACTAAGATCCTGTTTGGATTGAATAAATTTAAGTAGCTTTTGAGCAGCAAATACTGAAAAGCACTTTTTAAGATGAAACTTATTTTATAAAAATACTGGGTAAAAAAGATTTTTACTAAACGACTGGAATATCCTTAAATCACTACCATTATAAATGAACTAACCGGTCCAAGATTTTCTTGTTCTAATTGATTCAAATACAAAATAATTTATAAGTCAATTGAGAATATTTTTGACATATTAAAAGTTCCAACAATGACTCTCATTTTGGCTGTTGACGTTATGGTTAAGGGGATTTCTCTATTCATTGAAGAGGTGTTGGAGCTATTTTGTTTTCTAACTTAAAAGGTTAAAGGGGTAAATGAAATCTTCTCTAATTTATACCAATATAATTAAAGTGATAATAAAGATCAAAACTGAAAAAGTTTGAACCAAAATATAGTCTGCTCGTGGCACAGTTTTTCTCCATAGTATATTCTGCACTTTTTTAGTAAGCCCTTCTTTTAATTAGATTGGTGACAGGTGGCGCCAAAGGTTTATTGGTTTAAAAGAATTTGTATATATGAATAATGTACATTACTTCCCATAGATACTTGTTATGAAGGCCTTAAATGAACTTGGTTTCAAGAAGAAATGAAAAGAAGGGAGTCAAAAGCTATGGAGGAAGAACAGATGAGCAAGAAGAAATGAATAGAAATGGATAGATTAAGGTTTTTGTCTGTGAGGTATTTTTGAAATTAGAAGAAACTATAAGGGATAAAAAGATAAAATCTTTGGTTAAACAAAAATAGTTTTTAAGATAAAAAGCATAAGTTGGGGCCCAAAAATTAAACTCCCAAAATAGATCGTTTGTTCAGGAAGCAAAATATTTTGTTTTTCTGTACAAATTGCTTTGGATTTTTTTGTCCAAATGCGCTATTGGAAGTAAAACATAACAATCAAATACTTTATAAAACTTGTTTCTGTCCTGTAACCAATGTCAGATACTCATAAAAAGTAAAATAAAACAAATCAAAAAGAAAAGAAAAAATAAAATAAAACCAAATTGTGCTACAGCGTTAAATTGCAAAACCAAGCTCAAAGGGGATTCCATTGGTTTCAATAACACAATTTGTGTCGTACTTACAATGTAGGCTCTCGAGATCTTGCATAAGGAGAAATGAACAATTCTGGCATTGATATGAAATGACATTTCCCTTCAAGTTCACGCATTATATGCACTTTGTTTAAGGAAAAGAGAAACTAAATATAAAAGGCAGCAGGCCTGGTGATTGAAAAGTAAGGGTGTGGGCCGGGTTGGGGAAAAAAAGGTTACCGGCCGGTTTTCAATCCGGGCCGGTTACGGGTTTTTCAATACCGGACTTAACGGGTCCGGGTTCATCCGGGTAAAAAATGAACCAGAAGGGTTATGGGTCCAAGGGCCCGAGCCGGGCCGGATTAGTGTTATTTTTTATTTTTTTTATTTTTTATATTTTATATAACTATCGTAATTTATATTAATATAAAGTAAAAATATAAAACAAAAAAATAATCTTATAAGAGAGTATTTGAATAAAAGGATGCAAAGGTTTTAAAATCTTTATATTTGAAATTTTGAATATTTCATTAAGAATTTAAAATAATAGAATACGATGAAGGTGAAAAAAAAAATTGCACTTATAATTTGCAAGTGTTTTTTTTATTTCAAACTTACAAATTGAAGTTTACATTTAACAACAGTTGAAATTGGCACATTCAGCATGTCCTGAGCCATAACAGAAAGAATAGGAAATTACTTTTCATTCTCATGCCACCATCCCAACGGTGAAAATTCCTTTGTGCGAGGCTCTTTTGCTTTTGCAAGTAAAATTGAAGTTCATCAATGTTCCTGCTACTAGTTTGAGAGGTAGGAAATGTAGACCAAATATTAAAACCATCAAAGCCTTCATCATCATCATCCATAGTAGTAGAAACGGTACAATGCATACGATAAATTAGATTCCAAAAAAATGAGAGCCAAATAGTTGATTGAACTTTAGGTGAAGAATGAGAGAATGATAATTGAGAATATGAGTTTAAGAAATGAGAGATGAGTGAAGAAATGAAGAATAGGGGGGTGTATTTATAATTTTTCAAAGGGCTAAATTAGTAATTACTAGAAGTATTATTTTTTTAATAAAATTGCCCAAAAAGGGCTATTTTTGCAATCCAACCGTTGGGCAACGGTCATTTCAATTAGAAGACAAAAAAATAGAATTATAGCCGTTGAACCGGGCCGGGCCGGTTAACCGATTCAACAGTAATTTTCATTGACCGGGTTTGACCGATCCGGTTAACCGTATTTTATTTTATAAACGGAGCAACCCCTAAACCCAGACCCAGCCCTCCCGGGCCCCTAACTACCGAGTTGGGCGGTCCAAGCCGGTAACGGGTCAACCCGGCCCGTTTGACAGGCATATTGAAAAGTCCTTAGCATCGATACAAGAAGAAAAAGAAGCCCCTTTCTAATTCAACTATCTCTATGCATTTATTGTTGGTCTCATTGGTGGTAATTGTATGAAGTCGTCAGCATCATCTTCATCATCGCTTTCAATCCAGCCATAACAAGGAACACGCCTTCTTGGTGGCTCAAGGCAAATTCGCTTTGAGGAAGGAGGGAGATTATTAAGTACTGAGCTCGGGGAAGAAGTTGGAGGTGGAGCTGTAACGTGACAGTTACTTCCTGGTTGCACTTCACTCCCAGAATTTCCACCACCAAAGAAAACAGCATTAGCCGTCCCCATCTGGGTAGCGGTCTTGTCTTCCCCTATGTCTTTCCACCTATTTCCATCTCCTTCAGCTGGCAGGAGACTTAATACTTCTGCAAAACGGGGTTGTTAGGGAAATGTTATTATTTCAACATGGACCTCAAAATCATATAAAGAAGCAGGATTCTTACATTCCAAGTTACACTAGAAAAGAATGCAGTAATGTTTCTTCCTTAATCTGTTGGTATACTAAATTCGTTTATCTGATTAGGATGCATGTTAATGTCACAATGCATTAGTTGGACCGCATGTTTTGTTAAACTAATCTCCATTGCTTGGCAGCTAAATAGCTACTCCATTGTCATAGACACAAATCCAGAAGCAGATTTAGAACAGACAATAAGCTCCTTACCAGTACTGCCAATGTCTTGTTTGTTACTGCAAAGCTCTTCGTATGTTAGTTCTCCTACTGCATTAACAAGCTCAGTGCATGTTGTTTCTCCTACAGTATTGCCAGCTTTGTTGCATGTGGAATCAACAAGAATGCCCAAGGGGCCAATGGTGCTTTCTAAAGCAGGGTCTTGTACTGCTCTTTCATCTTGTGAGGAGACACCCTGCAATAATTCAAGGTCCTCATCTATTCCAGGATATGCATATACAACTCCAGGTGCAATTATATCAGTGACAATCATATCAATATCGAAGAATAGGTGACAAATTTTCATCAGCATCATTGCATTTTTCATATAATTGGCACTCAATGCAATACAGAAAATTGAGATGTGTAGCCTATTTATACAAGCTTAACCAGACATGTAGCCTGAACAAAGATTCCCAGAAAGTACGATCCAAGGAAGGTAAGCAAATGTGGCTCTGCCCTGTGTAGTTAAAGATACCATAAAATTTAGGCTAGCAGCTGCAAAACTATAGATGTGTTCAAAAGTGAAATATAGATCTTGTAATTTGGGTAGGTAACTGTACTGAACTATAGTTCCAGGTAAAACTGAATAGACAGATTTAACCCCTTCCATGATCAAACAGTATGAATGTATCAGATGATATAGGTTGAAAGGAAACTTTCAAGTCATGCTTATATCATGACTTCTCATGAACATTGTTTAAAAGGATACTGAATCATGCTTCTTAATCCATGTAAAATTCACAGCAAACTCAAAATTGTGGCCTACCTTTGAGGAAGGAAGAGTTGTGGGGTGATGATCAGCAGGGGGAGGGAGACGTTTAACTGGGCATGGGGAAAGAGTTGGAGGTGGACTAGGAACATAAGAGAAACTCCCTGATTGAACTTGACTCTCAGAACAAATTTTGAGATATTTAACAGGGCATGGGGAATGAGTTGGAGTTGGAGCAAAAACATGAGAGCTGGTTCCGGGTTGTACTTTATTCCCAGAACTTCGACCATCACGGCAAACAGCATTAGCTGTCTCCTTCTGGGTAGAGATTTGGTCCTCCCCAACATCTTTCCAGCTATTTCCATCTCCTACAGCCAGCAGGGAACAAAATACTTCTGCAAAACAGGGTTGTTAGGGAAATGTCAGAAATATGGACCTCAAAGTCATATAGGCACCTTCTACTGTTTTATAAATAAAAAGAAGCACAACTCTAACTTTCATGAGTGAACTATTGCAAAAAATGAAAATGCTGCAGTTCACTAGAAAAGAATGCAATATTGTATCTTCCCTAATCTGTTGGTATAATAAATTGGTATATCTGATCTTGATGCATGCGACTCACGCATTAGCTCAGCTAAATGTTTTTCTACTTTGTTAAACTGATTCCCATTAGTGAGCAGCTAAATGACTACTCCATATACATAGAAATTTACACAGATCAAGAAGCAGAATCTGAACAGACAATCAGTTCCTTACCAGTACTGCTAATGTCTTGTCTGTTGCTGCAAAGCTCTTCGTGTGTTGGTTCCCCTACTGCATTGACAAGCTCAGAGAATGCTGTTTCTCCTACAGTATTGCCAGCTGCGTTGCATGAGGAATCACCGAGAGTGCTGGAGGGGCCAATGGTGCATTGTAAAGCAGGTTCTTCTGCTCTTTCATCTTGTGAGGAGACATCCTGTTATAATTAAAGGTCTTCAGCTATTCCAGCATATGCATATAATGCCAGGCACAGTTATATCATTAACAGTCATATCATTATTGAAGAAGAGGTGAATATTGTTCATCAGCATCATTCTTGTTGTATCATTGCATTTCATTTTATAGGCAGTCAATGCAATACAGAAAATAAGGCATGTAGCTCATTTTCTATTTATACAAGCTCAACTGGAAATAACCACTAAACGTACCCTGAAAGGAGATTCCCCCCGAAAAATACCATACTAGGAAGATAGCAAATGGCCATGTGTAGTTAAAGATACCATACAGTTTAAGCTAGTAGTTGTAGAACTATAGATGTGTTTCAAAAGTGAAATATAGATCCTGGAGTTTCACTATAAAAAATGCAAGTGCCCTTTTTCTTCTTTATTTTGTAGTACTAACAATTAATAAAAGGCAGAAGACCATCTATGAATTGATTGATGGATCATTAGATACAGAGGACAAGGGTGGAAATAGAAGTCTTTTGGCATTTGCAACAAAAAAAAACTTAATTGCTTATTAGGGACTTGATTCAGAAGCAGCTCTTATTTTTAACAGCTGACAGTCTCAAGACCAGGAGAGGATTTCGGACGAAGCTGGGAACTAAGATGCTTGTTTTAGTTCTGAGAGAACAAGGAAAATAAGTGTAATGAGCTAGAAAAATTCCACTAAGAGAAAGCACTGGGGAGTAATTTAAGAAATCAAATAAACACGACAAGAGAAGAAAGAGGTAACTGCATCATCTACCACGCTCTAATCAGTTACAAAGAACAGACTAAGCAGAATATATAGCATGTTACAGAACAAAGGACAAAACTTATCCTCACAAGTTCTACGAGGCAAGCCTTCCATCTCTGTACTCATTCCTTAGGGAATCAGGATCGTAAACATGATAACCTCTCTCTTCCCCAAGATTCAAAAAGTAAGTACTGTTAAACTCTGCCAAGCGCAAGGTACGCCCAGTAATTCTATGATGTGACTAATACCTCCTCAACAGTCAATTGCTAGATTTGCACCTCAAATGCGTATAGATCTGCGTACTGCATAGTGTAAACTTTTGGGATGTGCCTATCAGCCTCTGCAAGCAACGCAGAAGAGGAAACTACAAGCTTTGGATAGCCACACTTTTCAATCTTGGAATTCATGAAAGATTGTGATGAGATATACTTTAATCACAGATAAACATTTATTATTAGTGCAGTCCTGCAGGATATATGAACGAACACTGCTAAAAGCAGTTCTAACTTCTAAGTGTTTCCAACTTCTAATACTTTCTTGAAACTATATTTCTACCAGAATTGTGTTAACAATTTAAACAGATATATTTTATTAGCAGATTTCCAGTTCAGAACAGGGATTATTACTTGGATTTACACCTTACTAGAATAGTTTCACATCCAACAAATTAAATGGAATAATAATCATCAAGTTGTCCCTCAATTTTCCGTAAGTATACATTGCACAGAATTAGTCCTAACTCCTACCCTGCTTACATAAAGGACTTCTACATAGTAAGATGATTTTATCCAAGTTGCTTATATAGGTAAGGATAAATTACTTAAAATAGGAGTTTACAGAAAATCAATTTTCATTTCTAGTAAATGCAATGCTTTCATTTCCACTTTGGATAAGAAATGCTCAAGGAAGGGATCCAAGTAAAACTGCATAGACAAACTTTTCTCCTTTCAGAATCAAACAGTATGAATTTAGCTACTTATTAATTGGTATAAATGAGAAATGTTACATATTCTCCTTGATGCAATTATTTTTAGTATTTGCTTCAATCAACATAGACATTGTTGCTTCATATTACTTGTTTTAACCAACATCTCGACATTGGGGTCAAACTTTAATAGGAAACAATTGAGAAAAAGGTGGAGCATACATCGTCTCACCATGCAGGACTAATCAAAGCCTGAATTGTCATTTACTTTTATATCCAACCAAAGCAGGAAAATAATTAACACAGAAGAATTATTAGTAAAACATTTTCTCCAAAAAGTATTTTCATCAAAAGTGACTCAAGTCTCCGAGCAATTGTACCTCTTGTAAATTGGTAGTGCCTTCATCGTGGCTCTCCAGATCGCGAAGAATAGCTTCAATAAGTTCTTTGTAGCCACAATCCTCGATAAAGGCCCATCCGTCATTTCCGCCGTATTCCTAAAAACAGTAACGATAAATAAATAAAATCTCCCCTAATCCACTTCATTAAGCCCCAAAAATTCCCAAATGAAACAGGGCGTTATTTTGGGGAAACCTAACCAGCTAACATTAGATTATTAACGCTTACCTTGAGGAGTTTATTCACAGTTTTCCGAACTAGCGATTCATCAAAGCCGAAAGGTGTCATGGCATCAATTGCTGCGTCCATTCTGCCTAACCGCTGCCAATAAAAACCAACAACAGTATTAAGAAAACAGTACAGTACAAAGCAGAGAATAAAAGGCGAAAAAATCATCAAACCTTTCTGGGTCTGCCTCTGGGTGCCATTGTTGTGTATGCCTCAAGACACAGCAGAAGAAGAAGAGATGAAAGAGTGCGGAGAAAAAAAAGGAAAATGCAATAAAGTGTGGAGAAAACTGAAAAGGCAAAGCAGTGTTGGGCGCACAATAACGTGTTTGAATTGATTTTAACCCGGTTAAATTAGCTTTTAAATTATTTTTAAAAAAATTTTGTGTTTGTCAAAGTTATAAATTCGTTTTTCCGTGTTTGTCAAAGTTATAAAATACTTAAAATAAATTAAAAATTATTTAAAACAAGTTAAAAGTAATAATATTATTTTTTGGTTCAAAAAATATTTCTACCCAAAAGTTATTATTTTTTAAGTCAAATCAAACCGACTAAATATGATAGTTGTAGTGAGTCCTGTTTTATCACAAGAGTTAATACGTTCTGATCATGTACGGTTCTACACGTGTCATTCTCTTTTGACCCGGTTTTAAAATAGGAAGAATTCTAGGCACCTAGGCCTTCCAGTTCCTTGTTGCATTGGACCAATTATTAGTGAAGTCATTTTGGCAGAACCGGTTTTTAATTTTCAATAATCGTGTAATTTGATATTTATAGTAATTAAATATTAATAGTAGTACTTTTTCCTTAAATATAGGCGTTATGCCAACTTGAATAAATTCGGATTAATCGATACTCATACAACAACAATAACAATAACTCAGTATAATTTCACTAGTGAGGTTTGGGAGGGTAGTGTATACGCAGACTTTACCCCTACCCTAGGGTAGAGAGACTGTTTTCGATAAACCCTCGGCTCCCTCCCTTCAAGAAAACTCTCCACCTTATTCTTGGGTGACTCGAACTCACAATATCTTGGTTGGAAGTGGAGGGTGCTTAATCGATACTCATAGTGAGTATCAAAATCTCTTGTATTTAATTAACTAAACAACTAGAACCATTTATGAATATTCAAAGCTAAGCATGAACACTGCAAAGATAGAAACAAATGATAAAAATTTAGCATAAATATGTCTCGTTTATTTTTATTAAAATTAAGATGTATGAATCTGAATTCATAAACTTGTCTTTGTTTAAAAGTTAATAAATATATAATTCAAATAAAATATTAATTAATCTAATACTATATCAATAAAATATCATTAAGGTTTGAAGTGGTTATAAAAAGAGAAAACTGAACTTTGCGTTAAGCAGATGCAAACAAATTGTATTATAAGATATTATCATGTAATTGTAACTAGTTGGAGAGTCAATCAATTTTTACTCTACTACATTTTTCTCTGAAGTATTCATTAACAATTGTTATTTTTGGAGTAATAATTTTGTAAGCACTTTCTAAATATGCCTATTTTACTTCAAAAAATATTGAAGAATTAATATCTAAATTCATACAAAAAAGTAGGTATTTTTATCCTTACTAGTTTTAAGGTACGCACTTTGCGCGTGTACCCATATCAATAATTATATATTTTTTTAAAAATTACGTAAATATTATTAGATAATTTATTTGAGTTATATAAAATTATAAAATAAAAGTTAAAAATGAAAATGATAAATATTATTCTTATTTAGCTAGCTCGACTAGAAAAGATATCATACTACAAAAGTTTTCAGATTCCTGATTTCTGATTTAAAGAGGACTTATATTGGAATTTCAAAATTAAAAATTAAATCTTTTGGTCTTTTAGAAATTTAGGATGAAAAAATTGACACCATACCTCTTAAAAATTGACAGTGACAGTGTAAAGTTTAAAGAATAACTAATTTTGAATAATATTTTACAACCTAACTTAATATATAAAACAATATAGCAAAACATTGTCAAATGTTGGACTGAATGCAAGAAAGAAAAAAAATCAAATAGTAACTCATTTATAATACATTTTTGTCCTCTACTATTTCATCTTCTTGCTTCAAATTCATATTATTATCAAGTAGACTCTTAATTTTATATTATAATTGATTTTTTAATTATTTTCACCGTCAATGCCCTTTGTACCAAAATTAATTTATGTACCTTAAGAGTTTTATCGACAAACAAATTTATTTATATGATGAATTTGAAAAATAATTAAATTGAACTTTTTTGTTGATTAGTAAATTCAAAGACTTAATTACTTGTTCTCAATATTTTTTTAAAAAACTTACTTTTTGTTAATTCAAATACTTAATATTTGCTCATCCCAATTTTTAAACATTAACTATAATTATAACTTTGTTCAATAAAAATTGTACTTTCAAATAGTTAAAAGAATCATTACTATGTCAATTTTAAAGTGCTAAATATGAGGATTTTCTACCTATTAATAAGGAAAAGTTAGTAAATAAAGTTTTACTTGATTTTGAAGTTCTGAGAATTAGAAAAATAATAAAATTATAAATTTATCTAACGTGAAATCTATTTTTAAAGGGTAAAAGTATCATTTTAAAATATTTTTAGAATTTTATATTGAATGAAATGGTATGATAATTGTGGATATTAAATGTCACGACCTAAAACTTAGCCTGTCGTGATGGCGCATAACGTGGTACTAGGCAAGCCGACACCTCAAAACATTTCCAATATTTTTTAATGAAAATGAAATAACACATGTTTAAATAAATTAAACTCTCATAACTGGATAGAAAGTCAATAACTCAGTACGAAATTTCTCAAAACTAGGGTGTCACTGAGTACATGAGCATCTACATAAAGATATAGTCTGGTACACCGTATAGAAAATAAAACTAAAATAAATAAAATAAAAGATAAGGGAGGAAAGTAAAGGTCTGTGAATGCCAAGCAACTACCTCGATGGTCTCCGAAGGTCCTAACTCCGCAACTCAGCAACCACCGTGACGGAAGCACCTGGATCTGCACACGAGATGCAGAGTATAGCGTGAGTGCAACTAACTCAATAAGTAACAAAACTAACTATTGGACTGAAAGTAATGACCAGCTAAGCAGTAACAGTTCAATATAGAATTAACAGTACATAAATGCATGCATGTTTTCAAGTTCTAGAGATAAACTCAATACAGGTAAAATAGATCAACTCTGAATAATATGAGGGATATGATATTTCTATATCTACATGCCATTGTACATGCTGTGTGTAATACACTACAATGGAAGCCTCGCGTACTCAGACTCTCAGAGTACTCAATCACTCAATACAGTACGGGGTAGGTCTAGCCCAGGGAAGATCTATCACTCAATATAAATGTATAGGGCAACTCCATGCCCAGGGAACTCCATCCCAAATGTGAATATATAGGGCAACTCCATGCTCAAGGAACTCTATCCCAAATATAATATCCATTGCGCTCACTGTGGGGGTGCAGACTTCGGAGGGGCTCTTTCAGCACAAGCGCTATAATAAGCCAAATCGAGGCATAAGTAAATAAAAATATGTTGTGGCGTGCAACTCGATCCCTAAATTATCGCTCACAATCAGGCCCTCGTCCTCACCCAGTCATTAATCTCTCCAGTCTCTCGGGATCACAACGCTTATACTAAGCATCCCTAATCAATAATACGAGATGTAACAATGAACAATAACAGAGGATGAGATATGATATGAATGATGAATACGACTGAGTACATAACTGCAATTAAACAATTAACTCAACAGCAAGGAACGGCCATTGTTGGTCCCAACAGTACCATCATATAGGCTAAACGTGATTTCTAACAAAAATTACAGCTCAAGTGCTCTAATGCATGAAGTACAGTAAAAGTGTTCAGTTAAGGTAGCTACATAATTGTCACGACCCAAAATTCAACTAGTTGTGATGGCACCTAACCCAACCCGCTAGGTAAGCCAACTTTCAATTATCAAATTCCAATAATAATTATTAAAGCAACTTAAGTGAATAAAGATCTTAATCTTATACATCCCCCAAGAACTGGTAGTACAAATCATGAGCTTCTAAGAATAGAGTATACAAAGCGAAAATGAAATAATTACATAGTCTGTTTGAATAATACATAAACAGAGCTTTTATAAATCTAAGGCTACCATGAACAAGAGACAGCTACAACAGGAACGTTGGTACATCTTCAAATCCCGCAACCATCGAGCACATCAACAACAACAGCGAAGTGTAGTATCAGTACAACCGACCTCATGTACTGAGTAAGTAATAAACCTAGCCTTAGGTTGAAAGTAGTGACGAGCTTCTACCAAGGTCGGGGTCCAAAACCACTAGTCCACAACGGTCCATAACAACATAAAGCAAATAATACCAGAAGTAACTCAGAGATAAAATGCTCAGCCAAATCATGATTTCAAAAATAATAGTTTTTCCTTTCAAGTACATCAGTGAAAAACCCAAATTGTTTACCGAAATTTTCAAAAATATGAATAAGTTTGAAAGCAATAATTTTTCCAAAATCCTTTCAATAATAAATGATATGTTTCATTTTCTTTCCAGATAACTCGTGTAAAACAAATGCATCATTATTGCCCATCTGTCAACATATGTGAGAAATCATGAATAATGTGATACCGTCCAGCATGAGGAAAACACATCTCTATGCATATATGTCATGTGTGCATGTCAATGCAATATATCTCATAGATTGTACTCATGTACTCACATTCTCAGAGTACTCAATCTCACTGTCTCGCATTCTCTCTCATTATGCTCAGCACACTCAATCACTAAGCGCTATACAATACCTGCTGCGGTGTGCAGCCCGATCCCTGTTTATAGTCGACTGTGCTCATTGGGGTGTACAGACTCATGAGGGGCTCCTACAGCCCAAGCGTTATAAGCACGGACAACTCACTTGCTGCACGGACAACTCACGTGCTGCACGGACAACTCACGTGCTGCATGGACAACTCACGTGCTATAATATCATATCTGGATCCGCACG